TAGAAAAGAAAATATTGCATTATTAAAGTTTCATGTAAGTCACATTATTATAAATCTAGCACCAGTAATAATAAAATTTACTTTTCTGTAAAAAAAAAAAAGAAACTTGTTGCATTGGTTCCAAAATTTATCTGCACACCGAGCATGAGTGAAATAGACCTAGGTGGCCCACTAAGAATATTCAGTCAGAATATACAAAATACAAGAGAAGAGTATAATAACAAAGATGGTCAAATTGGTTTGAGCCACAAAACAACATGGGACCATGAATAATTTTCATGAGAAGTATGAGTAAAATTGATCTAGGTAGATCTAAATAATAGATATTTAAACAATTTGTATTCCTCTATTTATATGTGAACTATCTGTACAGCTGTGGTGGGTGTCATCAGGCTGTTAACCAGAACAAGAAAAACATCAATGAAACGTATATGTATATACAATACGTGTATTGCACCAAAGTGATGAATGAAAACAGCATAGTGATAACAAATCATGTATTGATGACAAACAGATCGGTAGTACTGACAGTAGACACGCATGTTTCCAGTGATACCATATCTCTATACAATTTACCTCAGGATCTGACTCGACCAACTCTTCTTCAAAGTCATCAGCATAATCTATTTCCTTTTCCATATGTACAGCAGGTAATCCATGATTGCCTAACACTATAGTTCTTGGTGAATGTACAACAATTACAGGAATGTCATCATCAATAACCACTTCACACACTTCCTCAATTTAAAACAAAACAAAAACATATTACCGGTAATCATAGCAGATGCAAACTATTCAAGCAAAAAGGGTAACTCCCAAAAAATGTGTCAACAAAGAGGTATGTGTAAATTTCACCAAATAGGAAGACCAAACTGAATGTGTAAACCCAGCCGAATGTGTAAAGCCAGCCGAATGTGTAAACCCAACAGAATGTGTAAACCCAACAGAATGTGTAAATCTAGCAGAAATGTGTAAACCCAACAGAATGTGTAAACCCAAGAGAATGTGTAAACCCAGCCAGAATGTGTAAACCCAGCCGAATGTGTAAATCCAACCAGAATGTGTAAACCAAGCAGAATGTGTAAACCCAACAGAATGTGTAAACCCAAGCAGAATGTGTAAACCAAGCAGAATGTGTAAACCCAACAGAATGTGTAAACCCAGCAGAATGTGTAAACCCAGCCGAATGTGTAAACCCAGCCGAATGTGTAAACCCAGCCGAATGTGTAAACCCAACAGAATGTGTAAACCAAGCAGAATGTGTAAATCCAACAGAATGTGTAAACCCAGCAGAATGTGTAAACCCAACAAAATTTGTAAACCAAACTGAATTTGTAAACCCAGCCGAATGTGTAAACTCAGCTGAATGTGTAAACCCAAAAGAATGTGTAAACCCAAAAGAATGTGTAAACCCAACAAAATGTATAAACCCAGCAGAATTTGTAAACCAAGTTGAATGTGTAAACCCAGTAGAATGTTTAAACCCAGTAGAATGTTTAAACCCAACAGAATGTGTAAACCCAGCAGGATGTGTAAACCCAGCAGGATGTGTAAACCCAGTAGAATGTTTAAACCCAGCAGGATGTGTAAACCCAGTAGAATGTGTAAACCCAGTAGAAAGTGTAAGAATTAATAGTGTGAAAATAGTATGGATATACACACCTTCTTCTGAACTGTCTTTACCATCATCTTCATCAGAGCTTGTAAAATCATCAGAATATTCACCAGAATCACGAGGTGCTAACTTACGACCAGTCACTAGATACACAACAACAGCAATATGTCAATAACAAAATATTGTGTTATTTTGGTATTGTGGACACTGCATAACATAAGCCCTTATACATAGAGGACCTACCTGGGCTACTGCTGGCAGACAGATTCTCACTATTGGCCGTCACATCAAGACTTGTAACATCCATGGACAACTCAGATACATTACCAGCATCTCCACTCCTGTCAATGGAATGTAGCAATTTAGTAATCAAATATTATGATGAAAAGCAGAAGGGTATAATAACAGAAACGACAGAGGAGAAATGTAGGTACAAATCTAGGAGACGTGGACAGGATAAGTAGATGGTAGAGGATATGGATAGGAGTTGCAGATGAAACATTGGGACCAGGTGAGCGGGCATAAGATAGAAACAAGAGTGGCAGAGAAAGATATTGATAGGAGAGGCAGAAGAGGAACAGATGAGTTGAGGAATAGATTAATGTTTTTTAAGTTGCAAAATAAATGTCATTTGACTATCTTGACTTAGATCACTCTCTTTAAAAAAGACAATTTAAGGAATTCAAAAGCAGGTATAAAATAGAATGTGCATTATGAACAGCAATACAGAAACAAAAGTTTTGAAGTTATCCTATGCTGTTTTAAATTTAAGTTGAATATCCCTTATATTCACAAAATCAACAGTAAAGTTTATTTACCACCAATGACCATATTGGCCATATTGAATTGGATCACAAAACAAATGCATGCGCATATGTCACCCAAGACATATGAAAAGTGTCCAGGCATACATGTGCGAATGGACGTATAGATGCACAGAGGTGAAATTCAAAACAAAAGTCCAAACAGGGAATACAACAACATATAGTCAACAAATACATGCCAGAATGACAAAGGATATGAGGAACTATTGTATTCCTAATTTGTATATTATTTATGTAAAATATCCTGAATATAGCGCTGACATACAACTGGAAGCCTACAAATGATTACATACCCACAATGCCCTTCACTTGAATGTGGTCTGGACGGTTTCTTTTGCTGCTGTAACAGTTCTTGCCTCTCTTCAATAAATGAAGTCAAGCATTTTTGTACAAACGGCATGGCAAGTATTGCACTGGCACTACAAAAAAAACATGTAAGTATATTTATTGCATCAGTGAGAGGGTGGAGGAGGGGTCTAATTCAAAATATCCAAAGGAAATCAAATTAAGCAGCCACTAAGCTTGCATATCCAATATAATGTAGTAAAAAGAAAACTTCACTTTAACATAATACATTTCCATTGCTACAATGAACAATAAATACTAGTAAAACAAGATAAACATCAACAGGTTACAAATGTCGGTATTTCAGCTGCAATATATAATACTCATTACTTTGTTAGAAGACAAAATTCCATTATGTATGCACATCTTTACACAGTTTTTTAATGAATGTCAGTGAGTAGCAAATATAAACATGCTCCAATTGCACGTTTCACTAAAT